CATATCGCTGGCCGTGCCTTTGATGAGGTCATACCATCAGTTTTAGAGTAGAGTTTTCTTTATTTTGTTTGTTTCAGTTAGCCCTTTTATACAAGTGAACTACTGCACTCTCTGATACTATCTACATTGATTTTAACTGTAGGCTGGAAAAAGAATTTTTCAGAGGATAATGAATAGCATTGTCTGCCATTCTGTGTTTGACATCTTTACAATGTTCAATGTGTTACATCGGCTAGTGATCAATTTTCCATCTCAGGTTCACATTAACTAGATGAATTTCCTTCCCATTTCTGGGTAGAGTTTCAAATTTTCCTTTTATTGAACATATGATCTGGTTCCAGCTGCAGAAAGGAGGGCAGGTCCGGTTGCTTATTGTTGATTCGATCTCTTCACTAATTACCCCGATTCTTGGGAGCAGTGGTTCACAGGGTATAGATCATTGTATGCAAATCACAGTTTTCTTCAGTTTCTTGTTTGTTTCAATAATGTCTTTCCTTTTCTTTTCTCTTTTTCAAGTATTTCTCTCTTTTTTTTATTTTTAAGAAATTGTTTTTCATCCAAAGAAGGTTCACGTCAGTAGAAATGTTTTCTAATTTTCATATTTGTCCATTCATACAACTCAAAAATGTCATATGCAACTCGTGAAGATGAGAGATTGACTCATGCTTGTGGAATAACTGCAGGACGCGCCTTGATGATATCTGCTGGGTATATGTTAAAGAAATTGGCACATGAGCATAATGTTGCGGTACTGGTAAGTTTTCTCTTGGATACATGTTATGCACAATTCTCAGCTTAACATAATCCACAGGTGAACCACTGCCCTCTTAAAATTAACATAGAAAAGCTGTGGTTCTATAAAGTTCATTTTGACATGTAGAAAATATAATGTTTATAAATTTTTAAAGCTTGGATCAGTTTCCATTCCACTTCAAGCTTATTTGCGTCTCCATCATCATTTTGTTTATCACGACAGTAAATTTAGTTTGAAAGGGTTCATTGAATAGGTC